TGGTGTTAGTTACATTAGCATTTTATAGGCTGCTCATGAAAAACTCTTGAGCTTTCATGGCTCTCATTATTAGCTTTTTAATATAACACAGTTCATATTGGCTTTTATGCTGTTTAATTTAGGTTGGGCTTTCTTATGTGGCCCTCAGCTGCAAGGAATGTGGCCTACACTTGTTTGAAACTTTTCTTGTCTGTGTAAACCTGCTATTGATGTCCTTTTTTCTTGCATATTGTAACACTCTTAAGAGCTAAACTTGCCTGTATTTGTCATGCAGATCAATTACTCTAAATAGCAAACCTAGATCTCATATTACAGGTGGGAACCCAGAACGTTTAGATGGTAACTGGAAGTCTCTCCTACCTTTATACCATATTTTGATTGTTCCACAGATACAGAAATCCATAGCTGAATTGTCTAAATAAATCATTCGCAGCAAAAAATGCCTCTTATTCAAAGGACACATGCAAATAATTCCCAGCCAACTGTTAGTTACTGGCTTCTATGTTCATGTGCTTTTTGAAGTGATCCCAATATCACTCTTCTCTTTTGGGCATCTGAAAATGTTTAAAGCAACGTGTGGTTTCTCACCCTTCTATAAGAAAAAGGCAATTTCTAAGTAGAGTGAAGAAAAATGTAATTTAAAGAAAAGTGTATTTTAGTTTGGATATTCATGTTTATAACAGCATCTTTCCTCAACAGAGAGAAAATTTTCTACCTAAAAGATCTAAAAAGATCTTTCTTAATAGTTATTCTAGATAAATTTGTATGGACAATTCAGATAGTTTTAAAAAACTCTGTGTAAGATACCGAGAGGAGCAAAGCTTACATTTTCACAAGTCTTACGAAGAAAGGATGTTCTTTCTTGTGCATTAATGTATTTCATCAGAATTCCTGGGAAGCTGTCCAGCTATACATAGTAAATATCTCACATACCAATAAAGTGATTCCTCAGCAATTCAACCACTCAGCACAAATGAGATTTAATTTATGGTGAATATCTCCACCTGTTAAACAGTGAAAAAGGCTCCTGACGTAAGTGATGCTTTCATGCTGTTATTTATCTAATTTTTTAAAAAGGTCCTATCTTTCTAGATTATAATCTTTTAAAGATCATAATTTCAAAAACATTCCCAGGCCTGAACTCTGAACTTTAATATTGAAGAGGGAATATATGTGATTTTGAGCTAAAATATATATATGTAGGGCTAAGATCAACACCATCAAGGGAAGGCATAAAATGTGCCTATTACTGAATTAGGCATTTGTTTTGTATATCTAATGATAAAATCAATATATGGCTCCATCAGAGGAGAGATCCATCAGCCTCTATCTTGCTAGCATTCAATCAAGAGATTGAATTTGCAAGTTTCGAGGGGGAGAAATGTTTCTCCATCTTTTGACAATCCATATTACACTAATTCGGACAGCTTTTACACAGAGCTGCACCAGTTTACTCAAGCGTTGCTTTCAATATCATTTCATTAAATCAATGCAAAAGGTTGTGTTGACCTTTTAAATATATATTTAAATCTGATCAGTGGAGCTTAAATCGATTAGGAACTGATTTTAAGCCAAGTCTTAAGGCAAATAAGTGTGTCCACACGGGGTTCCTCAGCTGTTCAACGAATTGATGTGAAATCCAATTTAAATTAAGCTGCTGCAAACAAACCACTGTTGTGTTGTACGCAAGTCCCAAATGTGCCCTCCAAGTTCTTTGAGAACTTTCTTTTTGACTTGAACAGAGAACCCGAGGGAGATACAGTTAATGGAGTGAAATCCACTCATCCCCATCAGGAAAGGAGGGGTGACTACAAACTGCGGCAGTAAGAAGCTTCCAAACAAACATCCAAGGTTCATCTGAAAGTTGCATTTGTAAACCTGCTCGCTGTCAAATGATGGCCGTTTTTTACTCTTCTCTCTTGGCAGCTGTCACTGCAGTGAACAAGGCGGGTGGCATCAGGAATGCCACCACTCACTAGACTCTGGCAGGAGGAGGCCTCCTCCATATCCCACAGGCTAAAAAGATCCAAAGTGAATTTAAAGGAAATCCCCTCTAGTTCATGCTTGCTAGGGATTGGGACATCTAAGGTTTCCAACCTTTAGCTTGCCTTCACAGCAGCTCTGGTGTTTTCACAGAGTCGATCATTCCTCTCTCCTGAAACCTCACTGAAGACCTTTGCAGGACTGCAGAGAAGCCCCTTTATCTTCATAACCCATAAGTCTGCAGGGGAATTTCAGAGATTTTGCTCTCGAAGCAAAGAAATGGGAGATGCAAAATGAACCACACTCCATATTGATTCGTAATGCAGAGAAGATGGAATGAAACGGGTGTTTGTAGAAGGAAAAGATTACCTGATAATTTCTACACACCAACAAACCTGCAACCTGGGTTTTAATGATTGAGTTTAAAATGGAGTGAAATATAAACATACAATCATAGAATCATACAATAAAATACACTGTGAGAGAAAGCAGGGGTGAAAGGAGTAAATAGAAGGAAATAGTAAGATAAGTTGAGGAAAAATTCATTTAGCATAAGCAACTACCTTAATTATTAATCAGATAACATGGGAATGCGAGTTGCATTCGGTGAGCTTCTGGGACCTATTGGTCCCTCAACCTCCCCCATCCCACTCTTAGCCAGATAAACTGTCATCTGCTCCATTTTCCCCTGTCCTAAAACTGAAGAAAATGAACAGTTTTCCATACACTCTCCAAAATTTTTTAATTAATTGGCAGTTTTGTTGTATGAAAGAAGAGTTATAAGGGCTCTTCCTCAGCTTCAGGCCCCTTTCTAACCAAAGGCTGTTGGTCTGATGGGCATTTGCAGAAGCTGTCTTTGCCAGTCCAACCCCCCAGCAGGAGAAATGTATCTAAATGCAAAGGTGGGTACTTTGTCACTCATTGTATGAACAAAGGAAGGTAAGAGAATGGGGCATTGTTTTTTCTCCTCCAGGGAATGAAAAGCGTCTGGTAACTGCTGATGGTTTGTATGTGGGTAGTATTACCAGATCTCTGGCCTTTTTCTCTTTCCAGCTTTCCTGGTTCCTCAAATTTACTTATAATATTCCCACTCAGACCTGTGCAACCAGTTGTCTTGAATAATTGCAGACTCGCAAAAGAGGGTTATGGGATGTGAGTGAACGTGAACATAAGGATCTTCCATGATAAACCCATGAGTATTTCTATATATTGAGGTAAAGGAATTAACACCTTGGTGGTTGTAGTAAACTCTCACCCAATATAGAACTTCCTGTGTGTCTTGCTAAAACCCCCCTGAAGCTGTTGCCTCTTGTACTGTTCCTTTTTTTTGAAGTCTTGTTGATACTGCAGGTGGGTGGGAGAGTATTCCTAGTGCTGGATATGGCTCTTTCCCCTTCCTCCTATCACTGATAGGAATCAGTGAATCCTTAAACTGGGTTGAGAAATATGATTATGAATGTAGTGAGCAGAGGAAGAAAGAAAAAACCAAAAAGACCACAGTGACTGGAGGGGGTAGAAGAAGGGACTACATCACTTTGCAGTGGTAAATTACCAAAAGCAAAAATTACCAAAGCACTAGGCCCTGCACCTTACACTTGCTTCTCTGCTCGCTCCTATTTTCTGTATTTCCCGAAGCTGTCAGGACTGGGGAGCCTGTCCTTTCTGATCAGTGAAAGCTCGCTGCTTCAAATGGCCCTTCTTTCCATCGGGGTTCTGGAGATCCAGTTGTTCTGAACTTTGAAATTAAAGAAGAGGATGTTTGACACAGCAAGACACGTTCAAGGTATGTCAACCTGCAAAGAAGTATGACAGTTTATTAATTTATTTTATTGTTCGGTATAGAACTGGCAGGCAGACCATCTCTTGTGGGATTCGCTGACCTCGGTGCCGTAATGAACTTCATAGTGGAGTCCAAAGCAAGGCTAAACCCAGTATATTGTCTTTATCTAGGCATTAATGAGAGAGCGCGGTTAAATGCCAGAAATACTTGAAATCCTGCTTTCTGAGAACTATCTGAGTTAGGTACCAGTGTTTTTTTGTTCCTGCTTATGCTGGTATGGGAGGCAGGGGACTGCTGGCTCCCTCACTCTTGGCTTCTTTTGTAATATCCATATAGTTTTTGCACCAGTAATTGCTGTGTCTGTGGGACACCTAATTTGTTTTTCCCATTCCTTTGTGTCTTTCCAAGAAGCAGTGGTATAAAATTAGGTTTTTTTTTTTTCCCCCTGAAATCACACCTGAACTCCACCTTCACATTCCCCACGCCCCGCCAAAAAAAGCTTAATTTGGATTTTTACAGTTTTCAATTGCCAAATGGTGCCTTTGCTATGACTACCAACAAAACGCTTTTACTGATAGCAGCATCTCTCCTATCCTGAGAAAGAAGGATGGCAAAGGCTAACGAGTTGTGTCTTGTTGAGCAGGGCCTGCAGTTAGGAACTTGATTCAGTTAGATCTTTGGAGGAATTTTGAGATACTATAGTTTTTGGAAAAAGGACAAAGAATTAATGGGGGAAGACAAATGCAAAGCTGTAGCTCAATGGTTCTCACTTCCTTTCAAACAGCATCAAAACCTTTGACTCAGAGGAGGTAGCTTCCAGACCTCCCTTTGTTGATAATGTGTTTTTGTGAGCTTAGTGTTTATTCCCTCTCTGTGACTCTCTCCCCACAGTCAAGACTGTCAGGGAGAAGTTGTAGATAAGAATATCTGTAAACAGTGTTCTAGTGTCTCCCACACAGCAGTCTGGAACTGCCTCTCCTCGTGTTACTGAAGGTTCATGGATTTCCCAAATCAGTAGGAGTTTATTGATTTATATGCAGGCAAGCTTGTGTTACTACTTTGGTTACTCTCGTGCTTTTTCCTGGCTACTGTTAATTAGCCTGGCAGCATCTTCCAATGTTGCTTACATGCAGCAGTAGATGAATATAACTACTTGTATTGAGCTATCATAACATTCTCCTTTTTTTGCATCCTCCTCAAAAGGATAAAAGGCACTTTGAAAACTCTTGTTTAAGCAATGAAGGAGATCCAGACTGTGACCCAGTACTCAAATGATGTCTCTAGCGTGGTTAGTGGTGCTGCCTCCTGCACTTGCACTATCCCATAGCCTCTCATCACCTCATGCAGTCCTTCTAGGATGTTCATGGCAAAAACAATCACTGCCCTGCTACCACTTTCCTGTTACCCTCTGAAAGACTCGCCCTGTCTCTGAATTACAATATCTCAGCCTCTGTCTCTGACATCTCTTCAGGATCCCAGCTCAGGTTAAAGCAGGACTCTTTCTCTCTCA